TGGTAGCCCAGTGGTAGAGCTGCACTGCCAACCCAAAGGCATGCAGTTTAAACATGGAGAAAGTTGAGCAATCTCTTCCCTTGTGATTTACTTACCGCCTCTGCAAACCCACTGGAGGGTAAGGTAGGAGTGGGTTTGGACTCAACAACAGGTGATGCTAAGGGCTAACATGCTCACCTACTAATTAGAAGTTAAGAGTGCATTCAGAGGCTCTTTGGAAGAAAATCCTAGCCATCGCCTTCTACAAAAACTCTCACTGAAATCCCGCTGGAGCACACCTGGGGTCACAAGTCAGAACCTAATGGACGGTAACCGGCTCATTAAGTAGAAACACCAATAGAATTAAGAGCATCAACAGGATGGTTTAGCATGTCTATTTTCACCACTATCTAATCTTCTTTTTTACCAATCTGTACTCTAATTTGATTTACCCTTGTGGACAGAAAGATTCTAATAACCAATGTTATTTATTTCATAAACCACTGCTAGTTTGGCTAAAAATTCAAGAGGCTTCCTAATCTCTCTCAGAAATAAAAGCTCTTCTACAAAAGATACTCACATAAAGATCAGACTTCAGAACCATCAAGATGGTCACTCTATGACCATCCAATCTGACCTTAGCTTAACTCTATACATGAAACAGAGATGTACCATTTTTGTTTCCAGTTTCTAAACCACACACCAACCATGAGAAAATAGTTCTGTTCTCTCAATACATTGTAGTTCACATCTGAATAAACTGTAAATTCTTTAGGGAGCTCTGGTGGCATAGTCAGTAGGGAGTTTGCTGCTAACTCAAAGGCCTCACTTCTCTGGCAGTTCAAATCTACCAGCAGTTCCTTGGGAGAAAGGTAGGTAAACTCCTCCCATGTGACTTACAGTCTTAGAAATCAGCTATGAGCTGGTTCCAGCTCCAGAGCAGTGAAGCATGTTGTTTCCATACTGCTTAATGATTCTGGGGGAGGGAGAAAGGAGAAATGAGACTAGATCTTAAGTTCTACTTTTGAGAAAGAACTATTATCCTCAGAGACTGTATCCTCATCTATAATGAGGATTAAACACCTTTTCTTTTTTTCCCACCTTCAAATTAATTTCTAAGTGTAAAGTAAATTCTAGAGAAGAATGATTTTTATAAGCTTTATACATTCAGGTAAAACTACTTCATACACATTAACATTTTCCAAATATTTTCTATCCTGTGACAGTAACTACAGAAAACCATCTTTAAAGTAAAATTATATTTTCAAAAGGCATTTAATAAACCCAAATAGAATTACTCCATGCAAGACTATCAATGTTTGTAAAATATCACAGATAATCATATATTTACTGACTAGACAAAGTAGTAGCCCTATTATCCTAATTCAATAATCCAACATCACTATAATACAAAGTAATACAGGAAAAAGCCAAATAGCACCATCAAGAAAGTAAGACAACTAATCTGGAGGGGGACATCTAAAGGAAAACAAGCACCCCACCTCTTTAATGCTTTAGCTTCTTCATTTGTAAAATGGAGATAACAACAGAACTTCTAAGTCATCGAAGAATCCATGAGACTAACAAGTTCTTGTTCTCATTTAGGACCTACTGCATGGCTATCAGAGAGACTCAAAAACAAAAACCAAAAGAACCAAGACTTAAACCTATCTTCAACAAAGCTCTAGATTATTTCTAAATTACCAACAAAGAAAATCAGAAAGCACCATCAAAGGCTCATTAACCCACCAAAGGAGATTTAGAAGAAACATTCAACACATAATGTGACGAATAGTGAAATCAAGAAGGGCTAGAATACAATGTGACCACTTCCTAGGACAGATCTATGGCAACTGTTAACTTAAGGACAAAGAGTCAGAGCAAATTCAAACAGCAAGATTTTAACATGTTTCCCCCACAAGAGTATAAATGCTCAATTTGGGAAGAAGAGCTTTTCTATTAGGTCAATCATTGCCAAATGAAATAACCACCCTTCACGCCATCTACATGCCTTGAGAAGGAGAATGAAATCTAGGTGATGATCATGATTATTTCAGTCACTGAAGTGGATAATCATCCACTAGGCACAGTCTTGCACTTTATGGATTAACAAATTGTTATCTTCGTTTCTCTAGCATTTTCTTTTGTGTTTCTTGTTGTTTACTTTCCAGTCAAGCCAACTGATGACTGACCCTCGAGCTGGTTTTCAGAGGCTATAAATCGCCCAACAGGAGATTACCCTTTTTTCTCCCAAGGAGCAGCTTGATGGCTTTGAATGGCATGTCTTTGGCCTGGCAGCACAACTCCTTATCCACTAGGACCACCAAAGCTCCATAGAAATCAGCCTTAAACTCTGTCAACTTTGAAAATAACACACCTAAATGTCAAAAGCTGAATGTGTGGTATCTGGTAATAAAACTATAAAAAAACTATATTGTTGTGTCAATAACGGCATGTTAAGTGTGGAGGGAGTATGAAAAGGTGGCATTGTTAAAAATCCTGGCAGTTCAAGTTTTAAGTCACTGTAAGTCACTAAGGACTCTCTTTCCCAGAAAAGTGTACGTACATGCACACATTTACAGTTAGAGGAGTTCACCTAAAGATTCCAAGTTAAGGATTTCCATCTCCATACTTAACCCTGATACTTAGTGGTAATTTCTAAATTCTGCCCAAGTCAGCCACTTAAAATAACTCTATGTTTTTTTAAAAAAAGGAATCCTACAAGTCTAGAAGACATTATGCTAGGTGAAATAAGTTAATCACAAGAGGGAAACTATTCTAGTGTTCACTATTAAGAGCTAAAAAAAGCTAAAAAATGGGAAAGGAGCAAAAATCAGCAGATAATTTTTAAAGATTGGATGATAGAAAAGTTATTTAAATAGAAAGAGGATGGTTAGTACAGTTATCATTAAAGAAGGGAAACACATGGAGAGGTACATACGAAATATAGTCCACAAAGATTTACACTAAAATATACATACAGACATATATATATACACACACACACATATATATATATACATACATATATATATATACACACACACACACACACACACACACACACACACACACACACATAGTATCAGCGTTAATCTACAAGTGGCTATACAGGTAGATAGGCAAGAAAAGCAGATATGACCATGCAAAAATTTGGCAGGTATGTCTACATTCAAAATGTTGTTCTTGTGTATAGTCAGAACTGACCCATAGCTGACCCTCTAGCAGGTTTTCAGAGGCAATAAATTACATAGGAGACTGCGTATCCTCCTGAAGAGTAGCTGGTGGCCTCGAACTGTGTGCCTTCAGGATTGCAACGCAGCTTCTTGTCCCTAGGCCACCAGAACCCCCTTTAAGAATTATATTCATAATAGTATATGCTATTAATATACCAATGCATATAGCAAAACTAATAGGAGGCAAAGTTTCATGAACTAACCAAAACCTTAAAAGAATAATTTGCTAGTCCTGGGGCTTGAGGGTCACAACCTGAAAACCAATTCAAGTTATCTGGCATAATATGCACCACAACGTCAATATTCTGCATACTACTTTGGTGAGTAGCGAGTATCTGTGCATGGTGTAACTACTGGTCTCTCCCTATTCTGAGCAATAAACAAAGATAAAAACAAGGTCAAACAAAGGTCTAATGGACCATAGGAACCCCAATCTCTAAGACTGAACAGAAGATGGTATCCAGCTGACACTATTACATATCACTACAGGGAGCTCTCATGGCCTAGTGGTTAAGTTGTCATTGTGTACCGCTGAGTTGGAACTGAGCCATACCTGACCCCCCAGCAGGTTTTCAGAGGCAATTTAATATAATAGCACAGGAGAAGACTGCCCATCTTTCTCCTGCAGAGCAGCTGGTGGATTCAAACCATGTGCCCTTGGAACTGCAGCGCAGCCATCTTACCACTAGGCCACCAGAGGGGTGTGTGTGTGTAGTGAGCACTCATGGACAGTGAGACTCTGGTAGTACACTGGTTAAAATATGTGGTTGCAAACTTTAAGTTCAAATCCACCAACTGCTCTGTAGAAGAAAGATGTATAGCATTCTATTATGGGGAGCTCTGGAGGCTGAGTGAAGAGAAGCTACGTTGCAATCCTGAAGACGTCAGAGGGGAAGGATGGACGATCTCCTCCTCTGTGATTAAATGCCTCTGAAAACCCACCAGAGGATCAACTATGGATTAGTTCCAACTTGAGGGTATACAACAACAGGCCTAGTGGTAAGGAGTTTCAGTAAGGATTGCTCTGTGGGAGAAGGATGCTCAATCTCCTCCCGTGAGATTAGCTGTCTCTGAAAAGTCACTGGAGGGTCAGCTAATGAACTGGTTCAGACTTGACAGCACACAAGAAGAACAAATATATAACTACACAAATAGTGAGTTCTGAAGGCTTAGTGGTAAGGGACTGCAGTAAGGAATGGTAAGGAATTTAAAAGGGACGACAGCACAAGATTCTAGATAGGACAAAAATGTGGATCAAAGATCAAAAACATAAATGGCCAGGTTTACTAACCCAATCCAGACTACTAGACCTCCCAAGACTTTTGCCCTTAGTCAACTTTTGAACCTGGAATACCCCTGGTGGCCAAATTTTCAGCTAAAAAGACAAGCCTATAAATTGAGTAACACCAGGAAGACATTTAATTCCTTGGACTTATCAATCATAAAAAACTCAAAAAAGGACAGCATTTGCCCAGGAAGAAAGTTCAGGAAGTAGGAAGGGGTAGGACAGAGGATTAAACGGCATAAGACTCACAGATAAAGAAGCGGGAAGAGTTTGGTTACATGGTGAGGACAATATTTAACATTCAAAAACTGCAAAGGACTGGTTGCACGGAAAATCAATTTGCCTTGTAAACTTCCCCAGCCAAATCACAATAAAAAGGGAAGAGAAATCATAATTATTCAGTTCCTAGTCTAGGAGAATTTCCTGACAGCAATTTACTAAAAATGATTTTGAAAAGTTCTCATTTCATTTGTGAAATGAATTATCTACTTTATACCAACCTGAATGTGTACGCATGTGTCTAGTAAGATGAGTCTTCTGAGAACTTGAATAAGGGCAAAGTTCACATTTATATGGGCGTTCTCCTGCAAAAATATAATAATAGTGTTTATATAGAAAAAACAAGCCAAATACAATCCTCACTAACAATATAAGCAATACTCAGCACTGAGCATTTATTAAAAATATTCCAAGTAAAATTACCAATTTATATCACACCTTAAAAAAGTAAATTGATTCAGAACTTTCATAACATTATTTGGCTATGTGAATTGTCCAAACGCTTTGCACTTCCTCACAAAGTGAGGTAAGCATTTAACGTCTTAGCTTTCTTTTCATTTATGCTTTCTGTGTCCCATCTTCTATTATAACTACTAATCTTTAGAGATAACTAATGCTTAAATACTACTGAGTAAGCTGTAAGTAAACCAAAAGGTTGGTGAATTCAGCCAGAGAGCTCTTTGAAGATTTGCTTCAGAAAAATTAGAGCCCCTGAAAACCCATCAGGCATTTCTGCTCTTCACAAAGGTTAGCCAAGGCAGAACGGTCTGCCAACCACCACCAACAGGATAACTGTTAATCCAGAAGACTTACCAAAAGCTGCCAAGGATATGGAGAAACTGAGAACTTTTATACATTTGACGGGGATATTAGTGGTAAATTTATAGGACCCAGCAATTCCACTCCTTAATGTATATACTCAAGAGAAATAAAAATCTGTCTATATAAAAATTTGTAACTTGCAGAGTTCACAGCACCATTATTTGAGATAGTAAAAAGGTAGAAACAATCCAAATGTCCACTGATAAACAAAATTCTGTGTATCATACAATATTATTAGACCAAAAAAATCATTTACTTAATAGTCAATTACAAAGGGCAATACAGGAGTCCATTTATATGATATATCTAGAACACACCAATCCAAAGACAGAAAGTAGATTAGTGATTCCACTGTTAAGCAATCAACTGTTGTTAGGTGTCGTCAACTACAATTTAGAGCATTCCTATGAACGCTGCATCAGAACCCTGACCTATCCTGTGTCATCATTCCGGTCTGAACGAACTGAAAATAAAAAAATGTCCAAGACATAGATGACCTTGGAAACATTATGCCAAGGAAAATAAGTTAGTCACAAAAAAATAAACATGTATGGCCCTACTTAGGGGCTAATACAAGAGGGAGTAAAGGAGAGTCTTTGCTTAGGAGACTATGACTCTCTGGCAATAGGAAGATCTGGAAATGGAAAACAGGGATTAGTTAAGTAGTAACAATTGTTGAGTGCCACCGAGTTGGAACCAACCCAGACATGACCCTCCAGTGGGTTTTCAGAGGCAGTCAATCACACAGGAGGAGACTGTCCAATTATGTTCATGTGGCAAAAAAAAAAAAGGAAAGGAAAATGTCAAGTGTTTTGTTAAAACAAAAAGCTGTAGGAGAAAACGAAACATTATCAAAGATTAATATGAAGTTAATTTACTTTTATAGTCCTCCTAAAAAAAAACCAGCTTTTAACCTGCAAAACTCTGAAGTAGAGGTCAGAATACCCTAGAAAGCTTAGGCAGTGATTCTTAAGTCATACATATAGGCAAAGTGATCTTTGTGACCTAGTTAAATAACAAAACCACAAAAGTAAGTCTTTATTTTAAGTGGCCATTTCAGAAGTACACCCTAGCTCCACTCCCTCCCATTATAATAGCCTACAGAAAGGGAGTCTGAACTTTGGTACCTATCATTAAGGAATGATGAGCCAAGGACAGCTTTCAAGCCTTGTTTTCTTCTAATGACTACTCTCACTAGTTCTGTTTTTCCTCACTGGATTTTCCTCAAGAGAACATGGTACCAGGAACTTAATAAACACAATAAATCCATCAAATGAATTGAAAACCTACTTCTCATAGTTCCAAAGACAAACAAGTGATTCCTAACCTCAAACACATCTACTCTAGTCTTTAGAATCATATATCATTTTTCCTTACTCAGTTTCCTGAAGCATTTAGCAGAGTCTCTAGATTACATATGACTGAAATATTATCTTTTATCAAACTCTATTTTCTAAAATGAAGACGAAAAAAAACAAAAGCCAAATTAAGTCACACAGATCTGGTACATGACGAATACTATGCAGCATTCAGGAGCAACAATTTTGAAAAACACTATATAACATGAGAGAGGCAAGAGAGCATTATGCTAAGTGAACTAATTCAGGCACATAAGAACAAATGCTGCATAAAACCATTAATGTAAAAAATTTTTTTTAAAAAAAGAATAACCAATAAGAGTGTATGAATATCCAAAGAGAAAGAAGGTGAAGTGAGGGTGGGGTGGGAGGAAATCCAGGGTCACAGAGTTTGGTTGGTCAAAGGAGGTGGCTAAAAAAGACCCCAAGCCACAACAATGTACATGAATTAAACACAATATAAACAAATTATTGCATGTAAATAAATAAATTTCAAACAAAAACATTAAGGAGGAAGTTATGCTAGGAACCTAGAAGGTGCGTCCTTAATCCACCAGCTGCTCCATGGAAGAAGGATGGGTGAACTCATCCTATACCATTTACAGTCTCTGAAAACCACCTGGAGGGTCAGCTGTGTCAATTCGATGGCACCTAACAGCAGCAACATAATGAGGCTTAAAAGTCTTATTGCAAGCCCTTCTTTTCATATAATTTCTGGAAGTTTTGTTTAAAGCTAGTTTCTCAATATTCCTTTTCCTCAATGGCTCAATCCTCTGTCCTAGAAAATGGGTCTGACAACAGCATCTACCACTCTCAATCTGATCACCCTCTTCATGCACTCCATAGATTAGTCTCAAACCCTGTTCCAACAGAATTTCATCAGGCAAATGAAAAATGTGACTATAGTCACATAGACTATGTACAGTTGAGTCAGAACCAACTCACAAGAGGCAGTAAATTACACAAGATCAAAGACTAAGGCCTTCAATGTGGATTACCAATCTCAACATCAAAAAACAAAAATCATCACCTCTGGGCCAAAAGGCAACACCAGGAAAAGACCGAAAACGGCAATACTGTCATCTTACTTGGATTCAGAATCAACAACCTTGGTACTTGCAGTTAAGAAATCATGCATTAGGAAAATCAGCTGTCAAAGACCTCTCCAAAGTGCTAAAGAGTAACAATGTTAAAGGCTGAACAAGTCTGATCTAAGCCTTGGTCTTTTTAATTACCTGCTATATACCTGAGAGGTGAACAATGAATAAGAAAGAATAATCAATGCCTTTTGAGTTGTGTTGGAGAGTATTTTACACTCCATAAACTGCCAAAAGAACAAAATGTCTAGGAGAAAGTGCAACCAGGTGCTCCTTAGAGGCAAACACTATGAAACATTGTCTCATATATTTTGGAGATATTAAGAAGGGCCAGTCCTTGGGAAAATTCATCATGCCTGGAAAGTTGGAGGGTCAGCAAAAGAGAACAAGATCATCAACAAAATGGATTGACACAGTGACTTTAACAATGGGCTCTTGTATATCAGAGATTCTGAGAAAGGCACAGTGTATGGCAAGGTTCGGATCCATTATTTGTGGGCTCACTATGAGTTGCACTTGATCAACAGCATCTAACAACAATACATCACATGGATAGAGATTGTCTATCCTCCTCAGCTGGTGGATTCAAACCACAAGCCTTTGGGTTGGCTGGACAGCTCACCGCTAAGCCACTAGAGCTCAATATGTAGACACACAAACACACAGAAGGAGCACTAGTGGTGGAGTCCTTAAGGAGTTAAGCTGCTAACACACAGGCAGCATCTCTGTGGCGGTTCTAATCCTCCAGCTGCTCCTTGGGGAAAAAAATGGCAATCTCCTCAGAAAGGATTTATAGTCTCTTGAAAACCTGCTGGGGGGTGGGGGTCTGCCATAAAACAGTTAAAAATTATCAATATTAAGAATGTCTTTAAAAAATGATTCTACAATTGACAAATATTTTAAAAGCAAAAATGTGTTGCACCACAATAGGGAGCCATGCTAAGGAGCACAGGCTACTTCCTGCGGTGCTCTAAGTGTTCTAAACTTTGTTGTGAAGACAGCTGCACAGCTCTAGGCATAAACTGAATACTGGAGGAGGAAAAAATTAAATTAAATTATACTTTTCAAATGGGTGAACTGGATGGCAGGGCAAGTATCCTGAATGCCCAGAAGCATTGTTAAGATTCCAAACGTGACAAAACATTGCTAAGTTAGGCATAGGCCATGGGTCTAAGTTGGGTCACTGTGTTACTTCTGAGATGAAAAGAAAATTAAACATTTTTCACAACACCGACTAGAAAGAAGGCCTTACCTGTATGAGTTCGAACGTGCTGAACATAGTTGTTTTTTCTGTCTGAAAAATAGTTGCACTTCCCACATGTGTACACCTTCCGAGGAAAATGGTTCCTCAAGTGTTTCCTCCAGTGGTACTCACTGACCGTGGAATACGTGCAGATGATGCACTTGTACACACGCTCGTCATCCCCAGACCTAGTGTGGTGCTTCAAATGTGCAGTATAGTGATCATAGCGGTTGGTATTGTAGCCACAGCGGTCACAGCGAATGGGGCCCTTGGAGAAATCACCCTCTTCCACAATGGGAGGGCTATATTCTCCAGCTTTTGCTTGCTTCTCTGCACTTTCTTCCACAAAGAATTTCTTGGCACTGTGAGTTCGGATGTGGTGCACAAACTGTTCTTCAGATTCTGCTTCATACTGGCATGGCTTACAGCGAAAGGGTTTGCTCTTCAAGCTCTTGCACTTGTCCTCTGGGCCAGGTGTTTCGGCAGGAAGATCTTTATCTGTGTTATACATTTCTGGGGTGGCCGACATCTCAAATACAGGTTGAGGTTCTACAACACTGAGTTCTAAACTTTCCAATTCCATCCTTTCCAGTCCATTAGGTTCACCTTTGATATCAGGAGACTCTTCTTCAAGTCCTTCTGCATCACTATCTGAAAAGTTGTTATCCCCAACGGGCATCAGTTCTGCCATCTGTCTTTCTTCACCAACCAGGTAGTCACAGCAGCTGCCACTGACATCTCCAGTCAAAGCCACATTTGCTAACATGATAAGCTGCGGCGCTGCCAGTTCAGCTTTGGAGAGGTCATGTAAGTCATACACGTCATCAGGCAAAGCCATGCCCATGTTGGTATTGCTGGTGAATAGCCCTCCTCCTCCTCCAGAAGACTGCCCCATTACCTGGGTGGCCATTATTGTGTTCTGAATTTGAAACAAACAAAAAGAATACAAGAGGACACAGGCTTTAATAACCTAAAACAAAAGCAATTCTTCACAATTTAAGAAAAAACCAATAACCACGAAAACCCCCAAACCTTCCTAGTACAATCTCATACTTAGGAGCTTCATTCATAGCTAAAATCAAACCAAAATGTCTGTAACAAATCAAATGTCTGTAATCACCCATTCTCTTCTTGGCAGACAACTACATGGCAAAAATATTTCTAAAACTGCTAAAAAATGTTTTTATTAACTCTATGGACAGAACTCATCCATCAACCAGGTCTACTAGGTGATTTATATTTGATTGGTATGTCTTCTCAAGAATTTTTAGGGTTTTAGTAGGGAAGGGGAACTCATAAAACTTCATTTTTAAGGTTAATTATTTTGAAAATTAAATAGGTGATTAGCTGCTGTTCTTCTATTCTGACCTTTCAACAATTCATTGATCTGGAGTGGAGAGCTGAGAAATAACAACAACAACAAAAAAAAATCACACGCCACTCTGTATTATGTTCACAGCAAGTCTGGGAAGACGATGGCTGTAATAATTGGTCAATCTAATTAAATTTCATACTAAACCAACTAGCTTCAAAAGAATACTGTGGAAAAAATACCACTTAAGTCTAAATTTTTTCATGACTTCTCGGATTTTTACGGGGAGAGGGGGAGCGAGTAAATTATGGAAATTTCTTCCTGAAAAAATAAAAGCAAGTTTGGCACATTTGAAACTTCATAAGTAAAGAATTAAACCTTTCAACATCGCCTCCACCTCGGAAAGAACATACAACTCTATCTCACAAGCAGCAACTTTCTGCACTGTGCTTGACTTGGCCTACTTGCCCCAGTGGAAGCCATTACAAGATCACCTTCTTGAAAACATGTTGGTTTTTTAAATGGTCTGGGCCATCACGTTACTTTGCAAATACTACTTTTCGCTATTCTCTTGCAAATAAAAGGCAAAGGAGGTGACAAGCAATGCTAAACAGTAAAGTTAAACCTAAACTAGAAAAGAAAAACCGTTCCACCCAAGTTCCGACAGGCAAACCAGCTTAGTTATAGGTAAATGCCAACACAGAAAACTAACCGTAAACGCTTTCCCAGTGCCTAGCAGCACAGGCTGCTCTGGCAGCCACCCCTTAATCTTCAACTTTTCTAATCCCCCCAGAAACCTTCCAGCACCCCTAAGGGAATTTTCACATTTGTCAAGAAGACCATCCAAGCCCAGTGCACCGAGCTGCACGAATTCCTAAGCGCTGCTGCCACCAGCGCCTGCCTCGGCGGCGGCATTCCTGAAATAGGCATTCGGCCATTTTCTCAAAATACTAAACACAAAGCAGCTCTTTGCAAACTCGGGCGCTCTCGCTTCCTCTCCGGCCTACACGCTGCACACATCTACACACCGACTCGCCGGAGTTGCCCCAACAGCCACTCCTGAAGCTTTTCCTGCGTGTGTCCCCCCACAACACTAAAGACGAAGAGGGGATGGGAACTTGGGGTGCCGTTGGGCCACATCAAATGTTTCCCAAGCCAAGGCGGGCCCCTTGCCCGGCCCGAGTTTGGGAGGGTAGCGGAAAGTTACCGCAACACCGGTGTCCCGGTTCATCTTAACCGCCCCGGGGCTCGCCCTCCGCCGCAGACCGGTGAGGCTCCGCGGGCGCCCTCGGGAGAAGTCGTCCCGAGCGCGGGCAGGGCCCCCCCACGCGCGCCGGCGGCCACCCCCGCGCCCCGGAAGTTTGCAAACTTCACTCCCCCACGGCGCCCGGCAGGACGCTCTCCCCGGGCCCGCCAGGTTGGTCGAAGAGGCGGCCGCGTGCCCAGGGCTGGGGCACCGGCGCGGCCCGTGCGCCGAAATCGCTGTCCAGCCCCATAGGCGGACCCGCCCGGGCCCCGGGGCTGACTCAACCGGCCTCGGCGCACTTAAGGGTGCCTTGGGCTAAAGGGAGAGGCCGGGATGGCGAGCGTTGGGGTGGGAGGGCCTCGGGCCGGCGCGGGGCTGCAGCGGGCGGCGGGACCCGAGAACGGTAGGAGGAAGTTTCAGAACTGGGGCCCCCGAGCAGCTCCGCTCGGCGGCCTCAGGACCGGAATCGAGGGGCGCCAGGCCCGCGACGAGGGGACGGCCCCGCCTCGCTTGGGGAGGGGGTTTCGGCGACGCGCCGATCCCCTCCACCCACCCAAGGACGCCCCCTGCCCAGCCCCCGGGTCTGCGGCGGTGTAACCGGATCCCGCTCGGCCACCCGCCCCCGCCCGGCACGGTCGCCGCCGCCAGAGCCACAGTATCTACAAATCAGCCCTGGACAGCGCCTCGCTCCGCGTCCTTCCGCGCCCTCCCCCTCCCGCCGCCGCCCGGCCAGCGCTCCCCCACGCCGGCTGAGCCCCCCTGCCCCGAGCCCCGCTTACCCGCCTAACCAGCAGAGGGGGAGCGGAACGACCCGGCGTCGCCGCTCCTTCTCCGACTACTTTTCTTTGTTGCTGGAGTTTCGGGGAAAGGGAGGGGGGAGGGTGGAAAAGTTGGGCGATGGGGCTGCCGAGGCCCGCCAAGGCCCAGGAACGGGGCTGCAGAGGGTAACTCAGGCCGTTGGCCCTCGCCCTAGCGTCCTGGCCGCCGCCGCCGCCGGGGTCTGGGGCCCCGGGCCTCGGCGGGGCTCACTCTGCCGCTGCGTCGTGAGCTCGCGGGAGCCGCACATTCCAACACAGAAGACTGCGCCGCGCTCCCGGCCCGCGCCGCAGCCGCCGCCTGCGGGACACGCCCCCTCCGTCGCCCGCGCGCGCCCGCGAGACACGCCCCCTCCACCGCCCGTGCGCGTGGCCGCAGGGCGCGCCCCGCCCCTCGGAGAGCCGGGTGCGGTAGGCCTGGGCGCGCCTAGCCGGGGGTGGCACCTAATCCGATTCAGCCCCTCGCTCTTGCTCTCAAATCAAAGAGAGGCAGGCTCAACTTCCCCTTTTATTCCTTTTATAAACAAACAACAGGAAAGTTATCCCCAGTCTTGGCATGCGTGCATGAGAATAGAGCTGTTAAAGCACAAAACGTGCGAGTTTTGACTGTTGTCGCTGACCTATAAGGTCTCTAGCGCTCCAGAAAATACTCTTCCCAATCTCTTCCCGGCTCCACCCTCAACTATTAAGCTTGATTTGAAACTTCTTTGAAGTTTCTTTGGATTTGCAATCCAAATTTTACACATTAATTAAGTCAGGGAATATATAATCAGTGTGTGAGTAGTGAGAAATGTTTCCCAAAGGAGGTTATGAACGTTCGTGTGAAAATCCTCGGAATAGTTTGTGAAAATAGGACTGAGGAAGCAAGTCCCAGTGCCTGTCAGGCCAAAATGGGATTCCAGTGGCGGAATACAAACCAGACCACTGGGGATAAAGAACTGAATGGATGCTGAGGCTGCAGATGTTGAAGTCAGCTTTGTGGTCTATGAATTGGAGAAACCTCACAAAATGCCTGGCACGTGTTAATACACAGCCGAGCAAGGCGGGGAGTAATTTTATGACTCTTCTGTTTTCACCTGAAGTGACTTTCATATTTTCTTAAAACCTGATTCCTTGTGTCAAGACTGCCCTTAAAAACTTAATAGCATTATTACAATGGCCTACACCTGGAAAATTGAAACCAGTAAGTGTGGCATTCAAGATCTTGCCTGATCTTATCGAGAGGACTCTGGTGGCCTAGTGCGTAAGTAATTCTGCTGTCAGTTCGAAGACAGGCGTTTGAAATCTGCCAGTTGCTCTCCAGGAGAAAGGTTGTCAATCGCCTCCACTTCAATTTATTGTTGTTAGGTGCCTTCCAGTCAAAATACGAATCGTAATGACTCTCTGAACAACAGATGTGAACTGAGTCCTATCCTGTGCCATCCTTGCCATTTCTAACATACTTGAGCCCACTGCTGCAGTCACTGTGACGTTACATCTGGTTGAGAGTCTTCCTCTCTTTTGCTGACCTTCCACCTTTCAAAGCATGAAGTTCCTTTCCAAGAAATAGCCTGCCCTAACAACATGCCCAAAGAATGTGAGCCTAAACTTTGTCATCTTTGCCTCCAAGGAGCATTCTGACTGCACTTTCTTCAAGATGTATCTCTTTTGGCACTCCATGGGATATTCAGTATTCTTCTTCAATGCAGCAACTCACAGGCATAAATTCTATTATCCTTATTCACTGTCCAGCTCTCATATACTAGTAAATGATGGGAGGGGCGGGGGAGATGACCTGAATCAGACGCACTTTAGTCTTCAAACTAACAGCATTGCTCCTCTGTACTTTGGAGATGTTTGACAGTGGCCTTGCCCAATGCAGTATCTCTCCCCATCTCCTGACTGACTGCTGGTTTATAACCTTTTAAAACCTACTGGAAGATCAACTTATAAGTTGATTTTAACTCAACAACACATAACAAGAGCAAGTGCTATGCAGATTCCAAACAGGAAAATGAATTTTAACAAAGAGAATCTAGAAAATCCTCACTGTGAATGACCATGCAATCTAGCCTTGGGGAATTAAACAAGTAGAAAGTAAGGAAGTGATCAATTAAACAGTAATAACAAGCTCAAAAACACAGAGCAGCTATGAATACACCCCTAAGTAAGCTGACCTGATTCAGGCCATGTCTTTTCAATCTGTGATTGAACATGACCTGAATCAGGAACATCTTAGTGCCCTTTTTGAAGAGGAATATGGCATCAGGATTGGAGGAAGACTCATCAACAACCTACATTATGTAAATGACACAACCTTGCTTGCTGAAACTGAGGCAGACCTGAAGCACTTGCTGCAGAAGGGCAAAGACTGCAGCCTCAAATATGGACTGAAGCTCAACATCAGGAAGACAAAGATTCTCACCACTGGGCCTCTTGGCAGCACTAGATGGATTGAGAAGAAACTGACATTGTTAACAGTTACAATTTGCTTGGCTCCACAATCAACGCTCCAACACCAGCAGTCAGGAAATCAAAAGATTAATTGCATTGGGAAAATCTGCTGTCAGGGACCTCTCTACAGTGACGAAAAGTAACAATGTCATTCTAGAGACTAAGCTGTGCCTAATCTCCTCCATGATCTTCACAATTACTTGCTATGCATCAGAGAGCTGGATAATGAAATGACTTAAGAGGATAGAAAAATTAATGCCTTTGAGTTGTGGTGCTGGAGAAGAGTCTTGAACATACTATGAACCACCAAGAAAACAAAGTGGTCTATCTTGGAGAGGGTGAAACCAAGTTTCTCCTTGGAGGCTAGGATTTTGAAGCTCTGTCTAACATACTTTAGCCATGTGTCCAGGAGAAACTGGTCCTTGGAGCATGACATCATGCTTGGAAGGGTAGAGGGACAGCACAGGAGAAGACCCCTGATGAGATGGATTGATACAGTAACTAGGGCAATGAAGATAGGTGTGTCGGAGTCAGGGAGATTGGCTAGGACAGGGCAGGCTTCAGAGCTATTGTACATAAGGTGACTTGATGGCACATAACAACAACAGTTTTCAAAGTTACATCACTACTCTTTAAGTATTTTGAAGAAGTCACTGACAGCTGGCTTGACCAAAGCAATAAATCTGATTTCCTAACTGTTGGTGCCAAGGGTGTTGATTTTTTACACAAGCAAGAGGAAATAATTGACAGCTTCAATCCTTTCTGCATCTATCACAACGTTGACTGTTGGCCCTGTGGTGATGACCTTTGTTTTCTTGATGTTGAGATATAATCCATACTGAAGGCTGTAGTTTTGGGCCATCGCAAGTATTTCAAATTCTCTTCCCTTTCAGCAAGCAAGGTTGTGTTATCACATAATGCACATTGTTGATGAGTCTTCCTTTTATCCTAATGGGCAAAATACAGACAATACCCCCATCCAGGACACTATCCTGCCATGATTCAATGGACCTCTGCTGGGGTCAGGAAAGGGTGTTCTGCACACTGATTTTTACATGTCTGATTGTCTTTACAGTTTGCTCTTAGATATACACCACCTATCTATCAGTTTGTAATATTGGGAAATGATTTGGATGCTGACAATTACTTTCTATCTTGGGGATGTGTAGGCTGGCGTGTTTATAATTTGCTCCAACAGCACTTGCCTGTCAATCTTCTGTTGAAAGAGTGTAGCTTGTGGACTATTGTAATGCTGGAAGCTGTACCACTGGTATCTCAAGTACCAAAAGGATCCCATGGTCAAGAAGTTGTAATGAAACTACTGGATTAAGATAGACTAGGAAAACGGATTAGCCACCCATTTTCAAAACAACAGATCTTCAAAAATCCTGGGAACAACAGAGGAATGTAGATAGTTATAGTATTGGAGATAAAGGCAATATGGGAAGTCATTTAAAAATGAGAAGAAATGGTTGCAAACAACCGCTAATAACTGGAACTTGTAATGTGCAAAGCATGAATGTAGAAAAATTAGAAGTTGTAAAAAAATTAAATAGAATGCATGAAGATTGACATTCTAGACATAAGTGAACTGAGATGGATTGGCATGGACCACTTTGAATTAGACAATCATATAATCTATGCCAGGAATGAAAACCTGAAGAAGAATGGTGTTGCATTCAGAGTTAAAAAGATAATTTTAGATTTATCCGAAAGTACAACGCTGTCAGTGATTGAATACCATCCATACACATACAAGGAAAACCTGTTAACTCAACTATATTAAAATATATACACCAACAACTAAAGCCAAAGAGAAAGAGATTGAGGATTTACTAAATTTTAAAAAATTAATTATTCTTGTATGGTTTGCACACAAATTTTGTATGTTTTGTGTTTCATTTATATACATTGTGTTTCAAAAACTCCTCTAGTAACATTGTGCTTCATATAATTAATCCCATACATTGTAGTTGTTATGTGCCAGTCTAGAGTCACTTGTGACTCACAGAGACCCTATGCATATAGCTTTGAACCCTGCTCTATCCTGACCCAATTTCACTGTCTCTGAGACACCTACCCCAGTTATTGTGTCAATCCATCTCATCATTATGCTTTATAAAATTAATCACCATTTATCCATGCCCACCATTACCTTGCCTTTTCAGGTCCCCACTGAATTGTTCCTAATTCCTTTACCCTTTCCCTCTGCCTATTAACTCATAATTTTTCTTCCTCCCCCCTCAAATCTCCTTCCTTCCCCTTCCTCCTTTGGGCTTTTGTACACATCCTTCTATTTTTACAATAATGGTCTTATGCAGTATTTGTCCTTATGGAAATGAGTTAATTCACTCAACATAACCCTCTCCAGCCTCTCTCACATTATATAGTATTTTTTAAAAATCATTGCTCTTGAGTGTTGCATAGTACTCCATCATGCGATTGTACCACAATTTCTCAATTTAATTGTTGATGAACATTTTAATTTTCTTGCTATTGTGATTAGCAGAATTTACCAACTTTATTAGTCTGAGTTCGACCAAACATACAATCAAGATACACTAATAATTATTATTTTTTTTAATGGTGAGAAAAATTTGTACTTAGAATTAGCCAGCTGTACTCAGTTTAGATGGTCTCAATTTTGTTGGCAACATCCAAAGCATCATAGTCAAGAGCAAGTCGAACCATAGGCCTCCTTCTCTCCATCATGCCTAATCAAAGTGTTGACCTTAGACACATCAATGTCATAGAGCTTCTTTAAAGCTTGTTTAATT